ATCCCCCTTCTCATCCACCCCCCCTCTTCCACTTTTTCCTTAATCAAATTCAAAAAAACTCCTCGTTCCTCGCCATTTTGCGGGGGTAAGGACGGGACCTCGCGTGCCTCCCTCCCCTTTTTCCTGTGGCTTTTTCTTTCACCCTCATTGGGGTCTACCCCAACGCGAATTCTCCGTGATTCCTTTTTTGACCAGGGGGATAGGTCATATACTTTGCTCTGTTGTTGTAGTGAGAAAATTCACCCGTTCGCACGTATACATCGTATCCACCGTGAGCCACACAATTCGTTAACGGGGAGAGCGTGAGCGACAAGCATGGCTCCCCGCTCGCGGGCAGCGCAAAAGCACCCTCTTACTCATTCAGCCGAGTGGGAGTCCGATGAGAGCGAGGGTAATAGCTCGGATGCGCCTCCTGCTGACGTCTGGGCGCCTTCCCCCGTCGTGAGTGAGCTTAATACGACACATATTCCGTTGGAGCCAGTGAGCTGCTCCGATCCGCCGGAATCCACCAGCAGCACAAGCGAAGGTGGTAGCTCCGTCCGCGTACTCGCCTTGGCGCCTAAGAAGGTTGAGTTTTCCTCCTGGGAGGTGTTTGAAGATTATCTGGCCGTATACTAAGCACAGACGTTCCAGGCACGTGTTTTCTATAGCTGTGTATATACGTTTTGGCTGACATGCACTATGAATTTATCTGTAGATTTTCAGGGTGAGGACAAATACGACTGTGGCAGAGCGCAACGCACGGATCGACCGCACAAAGTCAAAGGCGGAAAAACTTCCTGACGAGTGGGTGCAATACGCAAAGACCTTTGTTTGCACCTATTCCGGGAAATTTAAGTCCCAGGCCACGAGCAAGAGACCCCGGCAGGAGTCTAGGATGAAAGGATGCAATGCCCAGGTAAAGTGAATGTTCGCGGACATGTTCAAGAACTTGTCGACGAAGAAAATTCTGATCCCTGTATGCTGCAACAAGAACCATTGGTGTGGTATTATGGTGGATGTGGAGCGCACAGAGGCAATCGTGTACGACCCAATGGCTTCTACATACATGATTGGAGTCCGAGCGCTTACTGAGAAGATAGTGACCCAGCTGCCAAATTTCGCCCCACGAAAGTATCGTGTCTCTCCCTATCGTGGAAATCTAGGCGTTCAGGTCGACAGTTTTAACTGCGGGATGTATGTCTTGCTGGCGTTTGAAGTGTTTGCTGGGGCCGACGGACTTAGCTACCTGAACAGAAAGGAACTACAGTATTTGCGCTATCGATACCTCTGCATGTGCGCGTAAGCCTAACAAGTTAGCAATCGTTTTACTTTAGAAAAACGTTTTTGAGTGCTAAGTTGGATCCTCTGTGAACGGAGTACATTGAATGCTTTGCCCTCTTCGTCAGATTCAGAGTCTTAATATCCGTGTATACGCGCTGGACACGTATACTTGGAGTGCGTTTCCTGTGATTGCACAACTGAACCTTTATCTAGTCGGGGTCAGTCGGGCATCCGTCGGGTTGGGTCGGGCAATGTAGCCTGACTCTTTCACACCCAGTCGGGCTAGATAACGAGTGCCAATTAATAAATAGGTCGTGCTGTCTTATAGGCACACTACCGGCGCGTTCATCTATTTTAAACTAACTTGTTATAACCGGTTTTATAAAGAAAAATCTTCTGATAATTCCATAATTAGTAAGTTAAAATCCCCACTCGATATATAACGTGGATGAAAGTGGACATCATCTATACATAGAGTTAATATATTAAATCTGTTTCTTAATACATGTGGTGTGACGGGGTCACACAGCACCTTGCGCTAGAGGAAGTTATCTTCCGAGAGTATACAAACTCTCAGTGAACGGCAGTTCACAGGTCCCCTCTTTAATTAAAGAGAGCGAAGTGACCTAAATAAGGTAGATTGTAAACTGAGTATATTTATAGGTAGGTTAAGTTTGAGGTTAATACAAACTATCAGTTACCTATAGTAATGCAATGTCATTTAACCAATGGTTGGTTTTGAATGACCTTGGTACCTTGTACCAAATATCCCGGAGTATGACATGTCATACTCCTGAAGTGTGAAGTGTCACACTTCATGTAACCAGGGTACACTTAGTGCTACGTACCCCGTTACATCCTCCCCCACTTAGGTTCGGTTTACCGACCAATCAGAATGAAGAGATGTTCGTCACAAACTCTCATTCTCAAAGTCGAAAACCATCGACTCGCCGCGCGAGCGCGGCGGAGGCTCACTTTACA